GTGGGGATATTATAAATGCAGACAAGCCTGAAGCTAGCAATAATGACACCAAAATGACAAAACATGAGTCCTGATGTCCCAACATAAACTCCGCCCTTTCATGCTTACATCATAACATTGCACACAAGTTCATACGGGTGGAATTTGTGTCATAACACATATTTCATCACTTGTTCCCCCTGTGTAGGTAAATGGGTAGCATATTGTGAATTAACAGGTCTGAGTGTGTTTGGCTTGGCAGCTTTCTTTTATTTTCTAGCATATAATATCCAACCAACTATTGTAAAAATATTTATTAGAGCAAAAAACTCTAATAAGACTTATGGATTGTTAACAAACAGCAAAGGATGTGGCTCAATGAGTTTGCTTGACATTTCTATAAATGCCCATGTTAATGGCTATCCAGTTTTGTTATGACTTAGTGTATATGTAAAGGCATCCTAGAAGCATCACACATTTGTGATTTGTCCTCTACATTTTCATTGGGCATTATTAGCAAATAATCCAATTTATAGCATTTAGATGTATTGTTTTGTTATCATGCTTACATATGAGAGAAGGAAAAATGTTTGGAAACAGAGAGATTATGAATGGATGAAAGCATCTAAAAATGTCTTCCTCCTTTTCTTTAGGACCTCTTTGCTCTTGATGTGGAGCCTTATCGGTATAGTGGGGTTAACATGACTGGTTTCAGGATTCTGAATACAGAAAATAGCCAGGTGGTGTCCATAATTGAAAAGTGGTCCATGGAACGGTTACAAGCTCCTCCAAAACCCGATTCAGGTTTGCTGGATGGATTTATGACGGTATGAACACCAATTCAGTCTACATTTTGCCAAATATTTGATATTATTATACATTTTCTTCTTGGGTATCTTTGATTGTCTAATTCTTCACTAAGATAGATGCTCTCCTTTATGCCTCAGTTCTGGATTTTATCACAGTTCCTGGATCTGAAAAGTAAAGCATAACTGTCTACATTAATTCTCCAAGAAATAACCTGAAGAGGTCAGTGGGATTATGTGCCTCACACCCCAGCCAATGTATCATGGATGTTTAGAGCTTCGATGGGAATAGGAATCTTGATAAATCAATCAGTTATCAAAGGGATGGGCTATCTCCACTAATTTCTGCTGGTTCGTTCACATGTTTTATTTTTATAGGTACTGAGAACAATATAATGGTAAAATGAATTATACTAGAAAGGTCTCTCTATTTATACTCCTAGTCTGGTGTTGTATTGATGAGCTACTGTCTCTGCCTTTTCTGGAGTTATGCCTCCTTGGTGGGAATAGCAAATGACCATCATTGTTGTTCCGAGCCACATAAGATTGTTATGTATAAGACAAGCAACTGCAGAAGTTTCATAAATAAATAAATAAACAAACAAACAAATAAATAAATAAATAAATAAAAGTATAGCAAATGACCATCATTGTTGTTCCGAGCCACATAAGATTGTTATGTATAAGACAAGCAACTGCAGAAGTTTCATAAATAAATAAATAAACAAACAAACAAATAAATAAATAAATAAATAAAAGTATAGCAAATGACCATCATTGTTGTTCCGAGCCACATAAGATTGTTATGTATAAGACAAGCAACTGCAGAAGTTTCATAAATAAATAAATAAACAAACAAACAAATAAATAAATAAATAAATAAAAGTATAGCAAATGACCATCATTGTTGTTCCGAGCCACATAAGATTGTTATGTATAAGACAAGCAACTGCAGAAGTTTCATAAATAAATAAATAAATAAATAAATAAATAAAAGTATTCCTGTACCCACAAAAATAATACTGTGCATATAGCAGCTCCATATGAGAACTAGGACACTGTTCTGCCAAATACACTTATAATGCAATTCCTGAGTTGATGCCAAGCCTAAATGCTAAAACTTGATAGTTAGTGAGCATGCCCTGGCAACTCATGTGTATATACTGCATACACTGTTGATGTTTCAACCTTGTCCTCTTTGAGAATTTCAGCTTGACTATAAACTTTACGACATCATTTATCTTTGTTCAAAGTTTTTGTGTTGAGATATTTGCAACAAAACATTTGAGGTTGCAAAAGGAGCCAAGAAGGAGTCAGAATTTGCTTACAACATAAAGAGTTATTGCTGGCACTGGACTACTTCCCTTTGTTTAATACACTGGGCTTATATTGCTTAGACATCTCATGTTTTCTTTTTTCATCATGTTGCAAGGCAATAGGAAGCTCATTGCGCTTCCTTGTGTCTGGAAAAAAGACCCATTATTGGTAGTGGTAATACAGTCATTTGTCACTATATAAGTTCCTAGAGCTTATGCATTTCTCTCCTGTCTTTATGTCAGAGCTATAGTGGGAAATAAAGAAAAAAGGAATTGGATTCATTTATGGAGTCTCATGGCTCAGTTAACCCCTTTAATTGGTTCCTAGGAGCTATCATCGGAGTCTATCTATTCAGCCAGATAGTAATGAATGTTTTGCGTTTTGTACTCAAGTAGGGTGCCAGTGGTGTAAAGCAAGGATTTTCAAGGAAGTCTTATTAGGTCTTTCTCTTAGCTATAGAAAGCTTATTTTTGCACTGGCAAGTACGTTGCAATTGTTGGAGGCTTTGCAGTGGCATAAGATATGGATTGTTTCATATTGTAGGTTCATTCTTACGCAAAGCTGTAGGCTGCTCTTGTATGAGCAAAGCTTCCACATTTGCATTTTGCATTTTAGAACAGAATTGGTAATAGTACTTGGTGGGACGGAGAGTCCATGTGAGATGCTTCAGGAGAGGAAATCATCTATAAATATATGAAACCTATAATTGAATAAATAAAATCTGATGGTGGTGGAGGGGAATGAATAGGGTAGAAAAAGATACAGTCCTCGTGGACTGTATTCCATTTAGTTACATATTCCCATCCTTGGAGATCAGAATTATAAAGAGGGGTAGAGATTTTTACTTAGTTGGAAGCTCCTGTCCTGTCCTTTCCTCTCTGGAGGAAGGAGTTAGTAGAATATTAACAATGTTTAAATGCCCTCTAAGACCCAAATTAAGCTTGTTTAATTGCCATCTTAACTGTTTTTAATGAATGAATGATTAGTTTGAGCATGCCGTTCTATTTCTTGGTGTGATCCAAAGGGGCTTAAGAGACATACAACACAGCACTTTGGTGTTCACATGAGGTCTTTGAGTGAAGGGTTACCTTTCCCAGTATAAAGAATGGTGAGGATGACACTTGGTAGAAGGAAGGAATCTAGTATTTATGTATGCAGGTATCTAGGTATTTATTTATGAAATTTATGTAGCCACCCATCTTCAGCACATGAGTCTGGGCAGCTAATAAAAACAAAATAAAAACAATAAGCAAAATTATAAATAACATACATGGCAGCTGAGCAACCATACTACAAGAGCACTGATCATCATCCCCGTCAACACAGCCAGGTAACAGGGTCACCCACAGCACCAGGGCCCCAGGCTCGATGGCAAAACCAGGTCTTTAAGGGTTTGAAAGGGTCCATTTCTGAAGCTTTATCAGTTGAACTGATATTTATAAACATAGAACATGCATCTCAGAACAGAGAGGATAATTGTATAAATGAGGATAACTTCACTATATAAACAGCTTAGTGATATCTTTATTCTTTTGGATGGAGTGTCTTGGTGAGGAGCAGCAAACGTTTATCAGACAAATGAATATGGGGTATCCTAGAAGGGCTTACTGACAGCTTATGGGAAACATCCAAGTTGGGCTTTCTGAATGGGGCAAGGTGGCAGCATTAAACATCCAATTCCTTGGGAAAGTTGCCTTGAGGAAGGTATTTGTTAGTAGCCCAAACATTGCAGATATGGAGATTTGCTTTTTGCAGGAACTAGGGAAGAGAAAGAATATCAAAGGATCCCTCTTATTTTGTTTAAATGTAGAGAGAGAAATCTGTTGATCTCAATATGTTCTCTGTCAGGAGGATCTTGGTATTTGGTTTTAGTACAACAACATTTTAAAGGCATTTTTGAAGTCATTCTAGCCATGTGAATTCTGCACTGGAAAGGAAGGCCTTCTAATGAACTGATTCACATTTTGGGTCACGTATAAAACAGAAGTTATCAGAGCCACGTGTTACCAACAGTGTCGTCTGTGAATTGGTCAATATAGGAATGTCACAAATATCATTGCTAACACTGTATGTAATATGCTTATCATGTCTTTCTTATGTCAGAAAGGACAAAAGACTTTTGAGCTTTCAGTTCATACTGCAGAATGAAAAAATGTACTGACTCCTTAATTCATCCATGAGTTCATCCCAGTTTAGACAACTTCTTTGCCAGATAATTGTTAAAAAATAGCAGCTTCTTTTATACTTCTATTTTTCTATAGACAGCATAACCTTTAAACATTTTCTATTACAAAAAAAGATTCTCCTGTCTACAGAATTCTTCTCGTGATTGTATATGGTTAAAAAAAAAGCCATCGTTACTACACTGGTGAGAGAACCTGTTATAATTCTGCTCTTCGGCATCTAAAGCTTGATGGAATTCAAGTAATGGATTGCCGTTAGAATTTTAAAGTTAATTTGTCATGGACAAATTTCTTAAATACTCTTCATGTCTCTGATTCCACAAACTATTGCAGTAATATACAAATTGTTCTCCAGTCTACCTCACAGCACGCCTTAGAGATTAATTAGCCAATGTTAGTATGACACTTAAAAAATATAAAGCACTGCATCATTATTAATATGGCAGTCAAAGAAATTACCATGTCGCCAGCTATGTTTTAGTTACATACAATAACCAGAAAGGATTTATAAGTTAAAAAGGGAAAGTTACTTATTCAGTAGAAGGGATTTCTATAAAACTTTCAGGGAAGCATTTTCTGTGAAGCTAAAAATAGCTTGCAGACAGTAAACTTTAAAGAAACAATTGTCAATATTAGTAAGGTCCAAACATTTGATTTCACATATGCAATAAGATCATTTTATTGATCTTTCTGTGTCTCCTGCAGGCCTATTCCTGGTGCTCTATTTCTGATCCTGCCTAAGATGATCATGTCTGGGATCACCTAGACAAATGTGGCTTTAGACTAGATGCCGCTTCCAGCTAGGATCTAAAAAGAACTAAAACAATTGTTCACTCCTTTCTAAAGTGGTTTGGACAAAATTGTCCTGCCACCCAGCATTCTCCCTATCTTCTTCCTCTTCTTTCCATTTCACACCTCATCCTGCTGCTCCTGCTCTTGCTGTCCTGTTCTCTGCTTCTTCTCCCTTTTGTCCCCATTATTTTCTGCTTTTTCATTCTCCTCCTTCCTGGTACTCAGACATTGCACTTCTCTTCACCTAGCCCCCAACCTATAGCCCTACAGCTCAGGATCCAGCTTCCCTCCCTTCTCCTTCCTGTTCTCCCACTTCAGGTCATGCCTTTTCTACCCTAGGATTCAGCCTTTCTTCTCCCTATTTGCTCCTGACCTAGGACCCAGATCCCATCACCCTTCATATCTCCAGCTCAGGACTCCCCAGCCCTCACTGCCTGTCCAGCACAGGCTCCAGCCTTCTTCCATCCATTGTTGCTCTTGTTACAATTTCTAAAGGGGAGGCTTCAGGAGAAATATCGTTGGTAATATGAATGTGCATTTATGATTGCTCATTGGAGTGTTGTTTGTGTGTATTTATGTTTACATATGTGTGTATATATGAACATGTTAGACACTGATTGGGAAGACTCAGATTCAAGTTCCCACTTGACTATGCTCTATCAGCCCAAGCTACCTCACAGTATTGTGGGGTTAAAATAAAGGAGATTCCATGTCAGCTACGTTGAGCTC